CTAATGTTAGACTCTTAATAATACTATAATATTATTAGTAATAAAAAAGCCTTCGGAGAACAGTTAATAGATAATTGTCGAACTCTGCCTCAATAGATAAGGAATTATTAACGAAAATTTAATAATAAGGGCAAATAATTTCGTAATAATAATAATAATAATATTAGTAATAATGGAAAAATTTACACGGGTTTGAAGGGGAATAAAATTTTTGGTCACTGGAAATGGCCAAAGAAAATTGATACATTAGAAAACTGTCAGTGATTAATAAACAACCCATATGAAAAACCCTTTCAGTGACAACAACCCACAAGTGGAAGGGAGAGCGTTAAATCGAAATTGTTCAGTGACTGCTAATATTCCACATGAGGAACTCTGTTCTCCTAAAAAGAGTCTATGTTAGACTCTTCCGGCTGGTGTAATTAGTGAAGAAGCCTCGGAGAACCTGTTTTTTTTGATAATTGTCGAACCTTTGCCTTGGCAGAAGGACCAATCGAACGAGGCTTTTGCCGAAGGGCAAAGTTTCGTCAGGGGAGGTAAATAGTCCCAGGCCCGTTGAACGGGTTTGAATGTCGAGTTGTTTGGGACGGGCTCAGAAAACCGGACAATAAACTACCCCTTGTGCAAACAAATATATAATACAGCCAAACGTGGGAAGCGTTAAACATTTATTTTGGCTAGATAACAAAGGGAACTGTCTCGGAGAAACCCACCGAATATAATAAAGTTTCTAAAACCTGAACCCGTTTATGCGGATTCGTATTTCTTATATTTTGGCCGAGCCAATGGGCTCGGAGAAACGATACGTTCGTTGGTAGTTCGTCAAAAACCCACGTGGTGTTTTGGTGGTGGGTGGCGTTAAATATAAGATTGAGCGATTGAGCGTTAGTTCATTTGATACGCTCTTACTATAGTCGTGTCATACTTTTCTGGTGTAATTACTGTTTAATCTGCAAACCTGTTTTTTTGTTATTACTTAACCATTTACTTGGTCACATAAACTATGCTTAATACCATTCTATGTTTTTTTATGCTATTTAGTATTTGTTTAGCCAATCTGAGATTTGGGGATATATTTTCTTTTAGTTTTATCATTGCTATTATCGTGGCAAATTAACAGTGAATAACAGGTAAATATGGATTTCATGTCGTTAGCTAACTTGCTAGCCATCACTCTATATCAAGCAGTCTATATTAGAATGTAGTAACATTAGTAGTAGTACTAAAATTGTTAGGTTGGTCATTATTTGTCTGTTAGTATAGAATCTTGGCAGTGAAATCATTATCTCATCAGGTTCTCGGCGTTTTCAGCCTGAATAAATTCCTTCGTATTTTTCATTGTTTTCTCAGATCTTTGAATTCTCAAGTAAGGGCCTTTGCGACAGTTGCTTATACGACTCAATTATTTCATGGGAGATATTACCGTATTTGACGGCTTATAAGACGCACGGGTGTATAAAACGCGCCCCAATTTCATCAGGGCAAATCAAGAAAAAATAGTAATTAGTAAAATTATTAGTAAATGGGCAGCCTTAGACTATATTTATGAGGTATTATTTTATTATCATCTCGTCGCCACAAAGTAATTCGTTGGTGTAGTCGTTATATCTCGCAAAACTAAAAAGATATAATAACAAAGTAAACCTGAGTGGTAGGTTTAAATAATAATACATGGTGGTATTTATATCGGAATGAATAGGAAATGTCAAAATACAGAGACAGAGTTGGAGCCAGCTAATCGAATGGTGTAGTCAACGAAGACTTTTTTTTGTCACTGTGGACTGTTTACTGTGGTCGAACTTTATCGGCCACCGGAACGTCCATTTATGGTGAATGGGGAAGTCAGGTTATTTCATCACAACAATTTTGTTTAAACAAGCCATGATTTCAATTAATCAAAAAATAGTAGCAAAAAAGAACACGAGCCTATAAAAACTTTATTATATCCTTTATATGATCTTTACAACCTGCGTATTGTAAACGTCTTATTGAAATAATTAGGATATAAAAATTCTGACTGTATTTATATCGATGCAACCGGAAGATTTTATTGCAAGAAAATATTAATGAAAACAAATATATTTTACAAATACATAATTTGAATTTATTGCATATAATTTTAGTGAAACAAAATACTAATGTTTATTTAAACATGATGAAATGAATATAATGAATATTATCAATGATAAAACTCGTTTTAATCTGCATAATAAACTTTTAAATAATAACAATTGGTATAGGAATGTTACTCTAAAGTCTAAGCTAATAGGAGTTGCCAGGTAGCTAATTTCGGCTGACTATCGCGAATTTTAAACCTACATATCGCATATAAGACGCTGATATTTTAGTAAAAAAAAAAAAAAAATGCGCCATATATGCCCTCAAGTTCGTTAATTAATTCTTTGGCTTATTCTAGATCTACTTTCAGTCTTCCTAAGGAGTTAGTATATCGCGGATAACTTATGCCTAATGTGGGCCTTGGAAAGTGGTCGTTTTTAAGTTGCTACATTTTTTCAGTTTCAATCTCTGCATGTTTATATTTACCTATTTTTGTCATATTTTAGCAGATATATTTTTATCTAAAAGGGGTATCTTCAACTTCATGTAATGGTTTTGCCTAACATTATTCCTGGATACTTCCCTCCTCTCCTCTGTAGAGGCCTAGCTTTCATTCTTTTGTGTTCTCGTTTGATCCACTTAACATTCAAAATTATATTCCTTTGTGTTGCTCCAAATATTCTCAACTTTTTGGACTTCTCAATAGATGGTGGCTTTTTCACTTTTATAATTTCTTTTTTCAATTTCCCGTAAAAATTCCTGAGATCCGTTTGGAAGATCTTATTTGGTTTATAGAACCTACAACTCTTTTCATATCGTCTTGTTCTCTGTGTCTTTAATTGCAGTTTCCATTAAAGTTTTTCCTTGATTGGTGGAATTTCATTTTTTTGCTTTAATTTTATATTTCTGTTCTTCGTCTTCATCCTTTCGTGATTAATTGAAAGATTTGAATTTCTTGAAATCTCATCTGGAATAGATAATTCAGGGCCACGTTTGAATTTATTCCATATAATTGTAGTGAAACAAAGTGACTAATATTAAACATGATTATTATTATTATTATTATTACGGGTTATCATCATCATTCGATTTCAGTCGCTTGGATATTCAGTCACCCACCAAGTCGGCGGAAATGTGGGACCTAAGGCAGGTCGTGGTATAAACGGGTTGTTTGGCCACATTTCATGTTAATTTTTTTTTTTTTTTATTCCGATGAAGTTAGGCTAGCGTTACATAGACAAAGTTTAACCTCCTTAGTGTGTGTGCTGTTTGAAATAAGACAATTTTCAGTTAGTGTCTCTTAAGAGCCATTAGGGGTTTCCAGGGATTCTTTCAATGTGTTGTTTTGTTCCATTTTTATAATTCCAAGGGTGCACAAGGCCTTTTTTTATTACCAGCCATTTATTATTCTTGTTTTTCCCTGAAGGAATTTCGCCCTTTTTTCTATTTCAATTTCCATATTTTATTATTATTATTATTATTTTTATTATTATTTTTATTACTTTTATTATTTATTTTATCATTATTATTATTTTTATATTATTTTTATTATTATTTTATTGTTATTATTTTTATTATTATTAATTATTTATTTTTTTATTATTATTATTATTTTTTTATTATTATTTTTTTTATTATTATTTTTATTATTGTTTTATTATTTTTTTTTTTTGAATTATTGCATTTTTATTATTTATTATTATTTTTTATTATTATCATTATTATTTATTATTATTTTTATTATTGTTTTTTTTATTATTATTATTATTATTTCCGTGGATGTCTTTTGTATACACATTTCCTTCCAGACCCCAAAGACATTTTCTGGGCTTCATGATATTTTCCGGTGATCATTTTTGTAAAATAAAAAAAAAAACAAAACAAACACACCTATTACATAAATAAAGCTCTTCGTAATATGCATGCTGTACTTGTAGGTAGAATGGTTTGTATATCTTTAAGGCATGGGTTACCAAGAATACCTACAATGAGTCTTTTCGGAACCTTTTCCAAACAATCCGAGGGCTCCAATTACAGCTGGAATTAATTATTGATCTCCTCATGTACCACATTTTTGAGATTTCTGCTCCAAAGATACATTAATACAATCTGCAGGGAATAACACGTCAGTAAGAAAGTACTTTCTGTGTTTGTGGTCTTTGATTACGATGCATGAACGATTAGCTTTCTCACTGTGTGTATTGTAAAATTCCATAAAATTGTAACAGATCCTATCTCTTTAACAGAGGGGGGGTCATGTTCATGTCCGTTTCTTGTATATTCCTTCCCGTAAAGGTGGCATATTTGCCAGTACAGATATTGGCCCATTCTATCATGCCGAGTTTTATATTTCAGTGGATGCTAACTTGTATTATTATCATTATTATTATTATTATTATTATTATTATTATTATTTCCTTTGATTTCTGGCGTGTACACATTTCTTTCCGAGTCCCGCCCAGAGACCTAAGGTTAGAAATGGCATCATGACATTTTTCACTGACACAAAAAAATATTACATAGATAAAGCCCTTCATAAATGGGCTCTTCTCGTGAAAACAATTTTTTGTATCTCTTTGAGCCATGAACGTCCAGGAATTCCTTCAGTTAATCTACTGGAATCTTTTCCAACCAATCCTAGAGCTCCAACTACAACAGGGATTGTTGATGTTCCCATGTGACACATTTTTGAGATTTCGATTTCAAGGTCCTTGTATTTTGATAGGTTTTGAAGATCTTCAAAAAGATACATTACCAGTGGTGGTTTAAATAATAATACTTTATATCGGAATGTAGGAATGTCTGCAGGGACTGCCATATCAATAAGGCACTTTTTTGTTTGTGGTCTTTAATAACAATGTCTGGGCGGTTGGCTTTGATTGTTCTTTCAGTGTGTATTGTGTAGTCCCACTTATTATTATTATTATTATTATTATTCACAGTTCCAGATTAGCAGGGCTTCTTAAAGGAGGAGATACAGCGACACTATCGAAAAGAGACTACCTAATGGTCCTGGCCACGTTTTTTATCGCATTAATAGCCAAAGGTAATTCGGCAGGGTTGTCTGTTTTGACGGTGGAATGGCTTCAGCAATTCGACAAATCAAAAGCGCTCATCCTTTATGTCCCGGCTTTAAACTTCGCCATTACAAGTGCTGCTGGTAAGTCACAGGTTTTGGTTTCCTATCAATTTTCATTTAAATATTTAATTTATTTTTTATAATATAAACATTCTCAAAATAATTGTAACCATTACAAGGCTCAAGAGACACTGAAGAGTGAGGGTTATTAAATTAGATTATATGGAAATAGGAGGTGAAGATCATGAGAATATGTAAGGTAGCCTTGAAGAGGTTATGATAGTAGTGTGCAAGGAGAATATGTAAGATAAGATTGATCCTAAACGTGAAAAGGTTATAATAGTAGTGTTAAAAGAGGCTATGTAAGATAAGGTTGACCCTAAACGAAGAGGTTATGATATTAGTGGTAAAGAAGGCTATGTATGAAAAGGTTGACCTTAAACGAAGAGGTAATGTTAGTAGTGTTAAAGGAGATTATGTAAGATAAGATTGACCCTAAACAAAGAGGTTATGATGTTAGTGGTAAAGAAAGCTATGTAAGATAAGGTTGACCCTAAAGGAAGAGATTATGATAGCAGTGTTAAAGGAGGCTATGTAAGATAAGGTTGATACTAAAGGAAGAGATTATGATAGTAGTGTTAAAGGAGGCTATGTAAGATAAGGTTGACCCTAAAGGAAGAGATTATGATAGTAGTGTTAAAGGAAGCTATGTAAGATAAGGCTGACCCTAATCTGGAAAATATTATGATATTAGGGTTCATCTTCTAAAGAGACTGTTCCGTAAAGTAGCATCTGTCTGAAGAAGCTCTCTGAATCATACTTCCTCTTGGCTAATGGAATACAAAGGGGATGTGGTTCTAATCTGAACATGTCTGAATTGTTGGACCTCATCGCTACATTTTCGATGGAAACGGTGATAGAATAGCGGGAGATTTGTTCCGCTGCCCCTGGTAAGGTGCTTGTAGACTGTAAAATAATTAATCTCCTACAACACCGTGTAAACGATTTTGAAGCCTAATGTGTTGTTTTGTTTATATTTCGGGCCTGGTTTCTTATATGACAGCAATTTTGGTTAAATTAGATTTTCGAAAGAAAATAGTAAAATTAAAAAAGAATACCACTATCCATTTATGTAAAAAATATATATGAAATATTCGACTTTTTATATATTGTTCTGACCGTGTTTTCTCACACATCCTTAAGAGATGAATACATAGATTCTTTTTTCCTTTTAACTAAATTTAATGACCAGGGTTTCTCCGGAATCCTGTTTCTAGCCCACCTTTGAATTGTTTGATATAAAAGTGAAAGCAATGGCCTTGGAAAAACTGACAACCCAAAACCTGTCTAATGGTCCCCTTTGCCGGGTCGTGAGTGAAGGAGCAGTCAGTGAAACGAGCAGGAAGTCAAACGGTAGGGGTTCGATTCCCGTGGCCGGAACTTAGTGAGAAATGTGTAAGAAGTTCGCTTTCTCGTAATATAAGAAAAACATTGCCGACTAAGTGAGAAATCGGTTTTTTTTTTTTTTGCTACTTCCCGACCCAAGGAGTGTCTTGAAAAATAATTGTAGCTATTGTCTTACTGACGGCGTTCGAGGCCCTGATACTGAGGCGAATCTGTGGAACTTAGCCTGCGCTGGCGTATTCACATACAACCGACTTTGGATGTCATCACAGTTGGTGAGGTGACGTACAGAATTGCATTACCACAACTGTAAAACGTGGGAAGAGAAACGGTCTTCCAGAATAACATTATGCTTTCTTACTGTAAACAGAAAGTATGATCTAACTTTCCCCTTCATTTGATAGAATTAAGTTCAAATCAATTTTTTGGGACATATGACAAGACGTTCTGGGTAAGACAATAAACTACATCCGTGACCTGGGTAAGACAATAAACTACATCCGCGTCCTGGGTAAGACGATAAACTACGTCCAACATTTGGCCTCTGATTAAGAGGTTTTGAGGAGCGTGGAACCAGCAATATTTTTTTGAAAAAAACTATTCCCAGCAATACGTTTTTGAAAAAATAAAATATTACCAGCAATACATGTTTTAAAATAATATTACCAGCTATACATTTTTGAGGAAAGAATATTACTAGAAATAGATTTTTGATAAAACAAAATATTACAAAAAAAAAAAAAAAAGAAAAAAAGGTGTCGGCATTAAATAACCGATTGATGTTGATATACCGTAAAACACAACAAACCAACAAACCAAACCATATTACAAAAGGATTCTTCAATTTATCTCTGGTATATATTTCTGGTCAAATAGAAAGATGTTGACAGAAATTTAAAACGAGTGGCGACATTATTAATTGGTCAATATCAGACAGCTGGACATATAAATAAAGTCTTAATCGAAAGAATTGGAAACTATTATTTACCTGAGTGGCATGTTCACGCAAATTAATTATTCTTTCCAAATTTTTCGATGTTAGAAGTAGAAATATCATAACATGATGACGTTTAAAAATATTAATCGGGCACTTTTCACTCGCACCTTATCTCGCTCTCTTTGTATATATAAATATGTCTGTCTATATTTCTGACATGAGTTATTGTAACTATTTACACTATTTACATTTTTCAGACTGAAAACTGTCAGAACAATGTAAATAATGCAAATACAGGCATCCCTCGATTAATGCGGTTTTACAATAGTGCGCTAAAACTTTTATATACCAAAATTCGATTAGTGGATAGATAATACTGGATTAGTGTGGTAAAACATTCTTCAGTTTAATCAAAGTAATTGAAAAGTGATTTTTTTATAGTTATCGTTGTACACATAAGTCGCACTAATCGAGGTATTCATGAACAAATGTGTGTGTGTGTGTTTTTTTTTTTGTTTTTTTTTTCAAATATCGCGTCTTCACACGTGACGTTGTTTTTTTGGAAGTCTCACGTCTTCTCGTGAGAGCTACTAGGTTTTCATTTTCTTTTTTAAGAAATATATTTTTATGTTTCAATTTCATAAAGTTGTATTGATATTGTGTTTTTGATTTATGGTTAATGCATATAGAATTTGTAGCATATATATATATATATATATATATATATATATATATATATATATATATTGATAATATTAGTGATCAATATCGAGGGTATAGAACCAAGGTCAATGTATACTCTCACTAAAAAAAAAAAAATTATATCCGGAGTTATATTTTCCGATTTCTTTTTGAATTTGTAGGTCAGATGATTTGGATCGTGATTACGATTCCAATGTAAGAAATTATATCCATGAGATATTAGTGTTTGAGCCTTTTATATTATATATATATATATATATATATATATATATATATATATATATATATGTGTGTGTCCTGATGATTGTGTCGAGCATGAAACAGTATCTCACGTCTGTGTATTGACTTCAAGGTTCACCTTTCATATTTACATACGCTCTATCTCTGATATTAACCCATTATCTCATAAATATATCACACCTTAAAATAATATATATATATATATATATATATATATATACACACATGCATATATGTGTGTGTGTGTGTGTGTGCGTGCGCGTGTGTGTGTGTATGTATGTGTGCATATATATATATATATATATATAGTGTCCTACTTTGTATTATGCACTTCTTTTTAAAGTAAATGCTACGAACATTGAATTTTACTCCATCTTTTCTTTCTTTTATTTTATATATATATATATATATATATATATATATATATATATATATATATATATATATATATATATATATATATAAATAAAAGAAAAAATGAAAGAAAAGATATATATATATATATATATATATATATATATATTATTAATATATATAATTATTTTTATAAAAAAAATTATAACATAAGTATGTTATAAAATCACTACAAAAATAGCCATTTTGTTTCAACACACTCTGTGTCTTATCAAGTGATGATGTTGAAAATTGTTGGTTGTTGAATTCATTCCGTGTATACCAATTATATACTTTGGTATGTATATATATATATATATATATATATATATATATATATTGAACAATAAAAAATATTAAAAATTGAAATATTCAGACTCACTGGGTTGTAGATTAATATTCTTTCGTTGTTTTTATTATTATTTCATTTAGATTCCTCATATATATATATATATATATATATATATATATATATATATATATATATATATATATATATATACACCTATATATACACCCCCACATATATATATATATAAAGTAGGGCAATATATTATTATTATTACTATTATTATTATTACTATTATTATTATTATTATTATTATTATAAAAGATTATAATAAAAACATCAAAAAAGCCACATGTTTCAATACTATGATTGTACTTCTTCAGGTGATGGTAAGTAACTGGTCATTAAATGATTTTTACGGAAATTTAAAGACAAAATTCTACCTCTTTTTCGAAAGTTAATCGGGTGAAATATAAAGTCTGAATATAAATTAGACTTATGCATATCTTGATTAACGAATAAAATGCCAGATCTACGCTAAATAGAAAATTATATTGAACATGCCATATTTGTCTATTTTGTGATGTCAACGAACACTCGTTGTCACTTTTTTAATGTCAATGAATACTCGTTGTCACTTTCGTAATTCCCGTTGTAGCAGAGACTTTGTAATCGCAGATAAAACTATAGTAACGCCGTGAACAATACTGGTGTCAGACGCCTTCGAATATCAATCGCACTAATAGTACTTGCTCGATAATACTCGTTATCACCAAATAGTGAATCGTATAGTAATCAGTATGGAGAAATATTATAGAGAATTAGTTAGAGAATAGATATCCGTATATTAGTAGAGGATAGAGTAGAAATAGGGATCCGTATAGTAATAAAGGATAGAATAGAAAGAGTCATAAATTAGACGCCACGCTACGTTGAATTTATGCGTTTCCTTTATGGTCACGTGATCTGCTTATTTCAAATGGGATCGACTGTGTTTGCTCTCTGATGATCTGTGTTCAAACTCAAGTGTCGGAAGCGACACTTTATTCCTATATAACAGTCTACAATTCACGATGCATTTGTCGCTGGCTTATTTTTCGCAGTCACCAACAATGGCCTATGTTCCAGTTTATGATGACATGAAAAAATAACACACCCAACCCATCCTCTGAGCTTAAAAATCATTTAATGACCAGTTACTTACCATCGCCCGAGGAAATACAAACATAGTATTAAAACATGAAGGCTTTTGTGTAGTAGCGATTTCAATATATTTTTATTATAATCGTTTATAATAAAAATAATAATAATTTATATATATATATATATATATATATATATATAATTATTATCATTTTTATTATAAACGATATATATATATATATATATATATATATATATATATTACATAATAGAGAACTCCAAAATTACCTCATGATTATAGACTATTTCAGCTAACGTCAATGCGTTAGCATTTTTCAACTCAAATGGTGAAAAGATTTAGTGTTAGAAACTTAAAATTAAATATTTTAAAAAAGCGACAGCAATTGAAATATTGATAGAGAGCTAATCAAACAAAACGGTGTTTTGTTTCGTAAGCTCTGTATCAATTATTTGACGTTACTTGAAATAGTCTATACTCATGAGGTAATTTTGGAGTTTTCTCTTGTGTAATTTATATGGTCTGTTATAATAAATACATGAGCTCTTTTTGTGGATCAGTTTGAATATTTTATATTATTAGGATCCACTTGGATTATATACTAACAGATTATATAATAATAATAATAATAATCTTATAAATATAAGTAATTATACTTGTCTGGAAAAACCTTAGGTGTCTTGGCTTGTAAATGAACCAACCAATATTCAAGGAAAAATAAGGAATAAAAAAAGAAAGAACTAAGAACATGAAATTCTGGCGAAACCAATCGTCCAGAATCCAAGATCAGAGTCTAAAGAAAAAAAAACCCAAAACGGGTAAAGCAAAAATAACGAAGCAAAGTGCTCAATACACTAAGTAGAGCAAATCAGGCTCGACTTAAGCTGGTGTAGTTTATTTATATTCTGTTCTAATATTACCTCTTTGGCCAGCGTACCCTGGCGATCCGCGTAGGTGAGACCGAGGTAGGTTTGCTCTTTAGCTCTTTTATATATATATATATATATATATATATATATATATATATATATTATAATTATTTATTTAAAAATATGATTCCAACACGCTACATAAGAGTTCTCATGTTTCAAAACTTCAATATAATAATTTGAATTAAATTGAATTAAAGTACTAAGCTCTGTTCCATCTTCAAGCGAATTTTTTTTTGGAATGATTTATTTCTGAAATTTACGCGTTTTATAAGTATGTTCATTACTGAAATCAAAATTTCTATGGTAACGGCTAGAGCAATTGTTTAAAGAAAAGGGGCGTAAGGTGTTAATAATTTGTATAAGAGTTATGTAACATTCCTTTTCAGCAAGTTTGCCTACTCTATCGCTAATTTTTAATCTATCAGTAATTTTTTTTTACTAGCTCTGTTAATGCTTTTAACCATATTTATGTTGTTGTTGCAAGCTTTTTTATAAGTCTTAGTTAAGTTTTTTTAATTATATATATATATATATATATATATATATATATATATATATATGAAAGTATAGTATTGGTGTATACGGAATAAATTCCAATAACCAACAAATATAGGGATAGACACAGAAGTATTGAAACAAAATGGCTATTTTTGTAGTGATTTCCTAACATATTTATGCTATAATTTTCGAATAAAAATTATATATATATATATATATATATATATATATATATATATATATATATATATATATATATATAGTGGGAGTACTGGGGACGATCAAGATGTGATTCTAAAAAAAGTTATCTTATATTTGCTCATTTATCGGGAAGTCAATAAGGCTGATAACATTTCAGCAGCTCCCCGTAGGTTAAAATTGTATTGTTTACTTTTTACTCTGGCCTGGTTATATTCTGTGACCCAAATTGTTAATGTGACCTACCTGTACAACAATAATCTACCTGCCCTTCCATATACACCAATCGATAAACGATTTCCATTTTGCAGCTGTGACAAAGAAATTGTCGAATTAACCAGTTTGTTAAGTTTTTGATGAACTTAGACAAGGTTAGGTTTTCGAAATGAAGCTTTTCTTGCTTCAGTGTTCAACTTTCTGCCGAATTGATTGTAACATTGTTCAGTTGCTGCTGCTAAATCCCAAAGAAATGATAAAATCTCAGAAAGAAAAAAATATCAACCAACGGTTTTCGTATCTAGAATTTCAGATAACGTCGGAGTAATTTCAAAGTAGATCTTCATAATTTTTTGTTGTGAATGGTAACATACATAGAAATGTAATACATT